GGTGTGCGTGTGCTTCTCGGTGAGGGCGAAGCTGCTGCACAGCCGTTGCCTGGCAACAGATGCTCGCACTGCCTGCCTGCGCCCCAGGTTACCCTGGGTGCTCCCCCAAAGCTCCGCTCCTGCCGCCGCAACAGAGCCAGCTGGGATTTGGGATTCTGATCCTATGTTTTAAAACACAAATGAGGATTCGTTTCCCAGACCAGACTAGGAAAAGGCCAGATGATTGGATTAAAAAAAAAAAAAAAAGGTGTCTTGAACCCCTGCCTGATAACAGACTAGGTAAATCTGGCTTTGCATTGCTCACAATAAAGGTTGCATCACTGTATACTGACATTGATTTTCTACTTTAGAGTGTTTAGCGCTGAACTGTGGAGCACACTGTACATTGTATAGTGCAGGATACAAAGGTTTATATCCCAGATACACCTCTTACTCTCCCCTCTAAGTTTCTGGAAATATGGGGACGATAGTTCCCTACTGCAAATGCTACACAAATTATTCCACAGGAAGGATTAGTGCAGTGCTATCAATCAGCAGACAACTAGTAGAAGCTATTTTATGTAGAACATTATTATTATTATTTTATTTTTATTATGATTATATTGATATATTAACTTCTTTGGGTGTATTATGGTATGTTTTCCATCATACCAGTTTGTGTAAGTCTTCTTGAATTCCAAATATAAGAATTTATCTTTAACCTTGTTTAATGATAAGCTCAGGCATATTAAAATGCTTATTTCAGCAACATTTGATTCAAATCAGGCAGCATCCATCTAGCTGATGGAAAGGAACTCCGAGGAGCTGGACAAAATACTTTCATAACGAGCTGGGAGCAAAAACAAGGATATTATACTAGGTTAAAAAGTGGTTTGGTTATTACAAGGTTACTTGCAACTGGGGACTGATGGGGTGTATTTGGCAGATTATCTACCTAGTGCTGATCCGGCGATTCCAGATGAACACGTTTAAGATTTCATTTCTGGGAAGGTCAGAACTGTAATTGATTCTGTTTGCTAACGTGGGACTTAGCCTAAACGGCTCCATTTTGGACCTGTTGTCTTATCTTTTAACAGCCCTAATTCTTCGATCTGAACAAGTGGAAATTTTCTGCCATATTTTTAGGGTCACTGAATTATCAGGCTGCCTTCAAAGTGTGGCTTTGGGATTCTAACTTAATTCTCCCTTTGTAAGTTTCCATGGGATTTGTTTTGAAGCTTTTTCTTCCAACTAACAGTTTATAAAAATCTTGGCAGTAAAAAAGTTGACACATCCTTATAAACATCTCACTACACGAAGAAATTTTTATTTAACTTTTCTTGCCTCCCGACTGCCCCGTTAGCCACAATATTGCCATGTGTGAACATTTGTGTTAACTCAAGGTGTGAGGCCTGGCAACAGTGATAAATAGTCCCCTTCCACAAAACTAGAACTTTCAACGTAGCGCACAGTTTAGTAGGGCACTGTAGGTTTGCTTCTGACTATGTTGGGAAGAATAATTTATTACTCTAGTTTTTTAAAAAATATTAATATTTTCAATGTAGTACTAAACTGGACAAGCATTTTCTGAACTTAAAACCTGATCACAAAATGCCTTTCATGAGACCCCAGACTTTGAGCAGGAGTTATCTCTGGCTCTTGTGAATTCATTCATCCATTCGATGAAGATTCCCGGGGCAGCTCCTGCCGGCCAGGCACTGGACTAGACCCAGGTGCCGCAGGTGTAAAGGACAGACTCAGGCCCAGCCGTGTGGAGTCCCACACGTCTAGCAGACTTTGGGGAAAGCTGCAAATAAGCCGTTACAGTGCAAGGAGCTGGTGAGACGATGCGGCACAGGAAGGGGGCCTAACCTGGATGTGGAGGGAGTACAGAGACCGCATAGACAATTAGGAGGTGGCCAAGTGAAGAAGGCATTCCAAGTGTTCCAGAGAGAAGCAGCAATGTGGACCCAGGGGATAAGCTGGGGTGTTCAGGAAGCACAAGTAGTTGGAAGGAGAGGCATGGCAGTGCTGGGAAGGGAAGACACTTAAGAGAGCTGTGGCCACAGAGTTTACATTAACCCAGTCTCGAAGGATCGTGGTCGAGGCCTCATCCTTGATGGGAACATGGCAGAGCTGTACTGTCACTGTGGCAACACCGTGCCAGCGCTGGAGTAAGTGAGCCATTGCTGCAGCCCAGGTTAGACTAGGGGCCCGAGACCATGGCAACGGAAGACAGGGTGGAAAAGACAGGAAACAGACTCTCTGGGACACAGTCACTGTTTGGGTTTGCAAGAAGGAAAAGGAGTCAGGAATCACCCCCATGTTCTGGTTTGGAAAATCAGGGGCCCTTATGAGAGAGAGAACAGAGGAATGGCCAGAGGTGTGGGGGTAGGTGTAGGGGAGGAGCTCAGCCCTTGGCAGGTAGAACTGAGGATCCCTGTGAGGCATGGAAATGGAGGTGTGCTTGGGGACGGCGTCGGACCAGAGGGCAAGGCGGGCTAGAGATGTGATGTGGACATAGAGCCGTGTGCACAGACTGTGGAAGATACAGTGAGCCCTTCCAGGGGTGCGTGCAAAGGGGAAAGGGCAGGTGGGGTCTCAGTCACCTTCACCAGGCAGAGGGTGAGCAGGACATCAAAACCACCGTGCGGTGGAAGATGCAGGGCAAGACAGCCTCAAGGAGGGTCAGTGCCAGCTCCCTGGAGAGGTCAAAGAAAGAAAAGACCTAAGTTCATGGATGAAGTTTAGGGCCTGGGAGGCCACCGAGGACCCTAGGGACAATATTTTGTGTAGGGGGATGGGCTAAAGCCAGGCTGCCAGGAGCTGAGGTGTGAGCAGGAGGTAAGGAAAGACAGGCAGAGTCAGATGCCCTTCCTAACTCTTGGCTGCGTGTGCAGGAGGGGCGACAGTGGCACTAACAAGGAGCCTGAGGCACCAGGAGGTGCTGCTGGTTTTGAATGAGACAGAGTTGAATACTTTTGTCCACTTGAGGGAAAAGGGGAGGTTGAGGAAAAAGGGGAGAACCACAGGAGAAGAGACACATGGACAAGTGGGGTCTGCTGTGCTCCTAGGTGCAGGCTGCAGAGGGAGGGGGCAGCAGACCATGGGGAGACCCCCCCGAGAGGTTCCCTCCACCCCCCCCCCCCTGCGCCGAGCCGACCCAGGTGATGTTTGCTCTCTGTAGAGAAGATCAGGCCTTGGTGAAAGTGAGAGAGATGTGGGCTGGGAAGGAAAAAACCGGAGCACTTGAAGACAGATGAACAAGGCCATGGTAAAAGAATCTGTGCACACGGCCTCGGGCCCCCAGAGCCTGGGAACCACCAAGGAGCCATAACAGCACCGCACAAGGACGTGATCTCGGACCTGCACCTCGGCTCAGTCGCCTCTTTTGCCTTCCTTCCCGCAAATCCAAAAAGACGAGGGCAAGGCTGCCGACAGACCAGACCGTCTCCGGGAACTCGCACTCAGCACAGTGAATGAGCGCGCAGTCCTGTCTCTCTCCTTCATGGGTCCCACCGCCAAGCAGCCAAGTTCGAGGCCAGAGAGCCTCCTAGGGAAGTAGTAGAGCTGTTCGGAGAACTGCGAAGGAGAAACGGGGGCTGGAGATAAAGACAAGAGGCTAAGGGAGGCGGCGGCGTGGGTGCGCTGGAATAGTCTAGAAAATGAACGGAACAAAGGCGGTGTGACTGGTGAGCCTCTTGCAGATGCTCCTCCCTGATAGAATATGCATGATCCTGCGCGAGTCCTCGCCCGCCTGGGAGCAGGGAGGCGTCCGAGGCATCGGCGGGGAGCGCACGCCCAGACCCATTCTCCCGGGCTCGGAGTGCGGGAGAGCCACGCGGCCGCGGTGCGGACCCCGCGCGGGTGAGCGTCCCGCGGGCGGGGCTCGTGGAGGTCAGCGCCCGACTCCCTCCAGCGCGGTTAGCGCTAGCGCCCCTGCCGGACCCTCGCCAGCGGACCAGCTCCCCTTCCCGGCCGCGCGGAGGTGCGGGGGTCGCTCCGCACCGGGAGGGGGCGCGCGTCCGACGGCGGAGGCAGCGCGGGCCGCCAGCCGGCCGCTTGGTGCCCACGATCGCCCTTCGGGGACCCGGCGACGCGTCCCGTCCCTGCGCGCCACGGTCGGCGAGCAGCCGGCAGGGTCCGGGCACCCTCACGGTCCCGCTGGGCGCTTCCCCGCGGCGCAGGCGGGGGCCGGGCGGGGCCGGGCTAAGCTCGGCGGGCGGTGCGGGCGCCGGGACCCGGGGCGAGCGGTGGGCGCCGCGCCGGCCCCGCTGGCTCCGGCGGAGCCCGGCGCTCACGGCCCCCGTCTCCCTTCATGCCCTGCCGTTTGTCCAGCCGAAAGTGCTAAACCTTTATCTTTAGAAAGTATTTATTTGGCTCCGCGAGTCGTCCTCGCATCCTTTTTAGTTGGGAGTTTGCGTTGGGCAGAGGGAGGGAGAAGGAACGCTTGTTCTGATCGAAAAACACCGAGAAACCAGGGCATCTCTTTTAGCAGCAAGGAAGAGAAGCCGTCGCAGGATCAACACACATCTACAACTCTCTATTGCTTTTTGTGCAAATTCCTAACTCTGCCCGACGTCCATCCAAGGGGGCAGGCATGGGGTGTTTGGGCAACAGCAAGACCGCGGAAGACCAGGGCGTCGATGAAAAAGAACGACGCGAGGCCAACAAGAAGATCGAGAAACAGCTGCAGAAGGAGCGTCTAGCTTACAAAGCGACTCACCGCCTGCTGCTGCTGGGTAAGGGCGGTGGGCGCGCGGCGGCTCCCGGCCCGAGCGGAGCGCACAGCCCAGAGCGCAGCGAGCGAGCGCGGGGGCCGGGCGGGCAGGGCCGGGCGGGGGCCGCGCGCACCGCCGGCGACCGAGCCACCGCCAGCCACCGGGACCCGCTCCTCCAGCCGCGAGCTGGCGAGTACCGGGAAATGTCGACGCCGGGTAGGGTAATTGCTGTCTGGGTTGGCAGGCGAGATGCAACGGAATTGGGCTACAGATCATAGCAATCTTTGTATTTGTTTGCAGGGGCTGGTGAGTCTGGGAAGAGCACTATCGTCAAACAGATGAGGATCCTGCACGTCAATGGATTTAATCCTGAGTAAGGACTGATCAATTTCGCTTTTGCTTCCAGACTGCATGCGAACTTTTTCACTTCTCTCTAGCCTTCCCCAAAGTGCTTTTTCTTTAGTTAATTTGATCATTGAGTAGACTTGTGAGAGGGAGGGAAAATAGAAGCCTGTTGTTCAATTTGTAATATTTAGGCGAATCCTGTCGGTAGTGTCTAGATCAAAAAACAAAATAACTTGCTTACCAAAATATGACTTATTAGATATTCTTGAGGTATTGATCTGTATGATTGGTATTGCTCTGAGCACACTTAACCAATATGTCACTATATACTTTTCTCTGTATCCTTAGTCTGCCTATATTTCAATTCATAACTATCAACATGTGGGTAATTAAAATAAAATGTATTTACAGGTGTAGCTGTATAGTTATTATATGCAGCAGTATTCATAACCACTTCGCCATGTTGTGTGTAGCCTGTGTAGTTGTTTAAAACTATATATAGATTGTAATGTGTGCATTCAAGTTTGCTTTGAGTACAAATTAGGGGAAAAAAGCACGTTTTCCTTAATCAGTTAAAAAAATTTGCAGCTGTTGTCTTGAGGGTTGACATTGACCCCTAGGAAAACCAGTCTAGCCCCATGCTTCAGCTGGAAGTTCCAAATCCCACTCAACTGATTCAAGTGAGTGCTAAAAATAACTAAATTAATAACAATTCTCTTTGAATATAGGGAAAAGAAACAGAAAATTCTGGACATCCGGAAAAATGTTAAAGATGCTATTGTGGTAAGGACTTTTTAAAAAAAAAAAAAAGTTTGTTTAGTATATTCTAGTTGTCATACATGAAGCCTGAATGTTATATTTATCCATATACTTTTTTCTTGATTCCATTTTAGACAATTGTTTCTGCTATGAGTACTATAATACCCCCAGTTCCACTGGCCAACCCAGAAAACCAGTTTCGATCAGACTATATCAAGAGTATAGCTCCAATCACCGACTTTGAATATTCCCAGGTAAGTAAATCCTTCTTGAACTATTTTAAATGGTTCAGGAGAGAACCACTTTTTAATGAGATTGCTTGAGAATCAATGCTAATATTATTTTATTCTTGAGTTCCTTCAAAATCTAGCTCCTTGCCTAGAGAAGTGCTTTCCTTCATATCAAAATATTAACATTTGTTAAAAATATTAAAGACAATAGGATTGTAGAAATGCTTTTATGAATGTATTTGTGAGGTCGGTAATCGGGAAAGTAGCATACCTTTAAGAGATATCGATAGTACTTTTTCCTATATGTTATTTCTAAATTAACAATCAAGCAGTTTCCCAGATAACAAAAGAATAGAATTTATATGAGCAAAGAGAAATGCTTATGGTAAGTGATAGCTTCTGTGGGAATAGTAGAACAGAATTCAGTTCACTCTTAAGATGTACATCCTGTAGCTTAAACAAGAAGAGAATGCATGCTCTAAATAACATGGATCCCTTCTGAATGTTTACAGAACATCTATGATGGAAAAATGTAGTTTGCTTCACGTCAGCAGTATTTACGGGCACCTTCCTAACCACTTGGGTGGCAGTATTGTCCATGGGAAAGGGTGAAATGAATTGTCATTTTCTTTTCTTTGGTATATATATATATATCTTCAAACTATTGTTATGTGGTAATTGGATTAAGCACGTGTCAAAGGAAAATATATTTGGTAGATTTCTCAGTAAATCATTTTTCTTACACTTGTGCCAAAAGAACATATTTGTGCGTGTACCTATGTGTGTGTGTGTGTGTGTGTGTGTGTGTGTGTGTGTGTGCGCATACCCAACAGTAATAGAAGTTCAAAGTTTTCATTGCCCGGCATAGGGCTCTAGAGACATTTTTCTTTCTCAGAATCCTCTCTTCGAAGGGAAGGTGGTGCAGAAAGCAGTGTGTACAATAGACGGTGTGTAAAACGCTCTGACTGAAGTCTGGGCCGGTGTACACCTACCTGCTAGCCCCTACCCTGTCTCTTAAGCAGAAGCACCCTGTCCTATAGGCTTTGTAGCATGATGGTGGATAGGGATTACCCTTTTTTAACGCATTTATTTGCATTCTTTCATTTAATTTTTGCTTCTGATAAGCATTCCAGTGTAGCCAGTGAGAGCTCTAGAATTTCTAAAAGGGAGGGTTAGAGGTGGCAAACTGGCCAGAAAAGGGGTTGGGCACTGCAGGCACACTTTTTTACTAAATGGTCTTTTTTATTTTTTTTTAATTATTTTTAATGTTTATTTATTTTTGAGAGAGAGAGAGAGAAATGTAAGCAGGGAAGGGGCAGAGAGAGAGAAAGAGACACAGAATCTGAAGCAGGCTCCAGACTCTGAGCTGTCAGCACAGAGCCTGATGTGGGAGCTCAAACTCATGAACCGTGAGATCATGACCTGAGCCAAAGTCGGATGCTCAACCGACTGAGCCACCCAGGCACCCCCGAACTGTGTCTTTAACTGGATGGCTTGGAGGGGTAAAGGAGATGATGAGGGAGGAGCATGGAGGGTAGGACTAAAGCAGTGCTTCAGTACTAGGGTGGCCCCTAGCACTCTGCAACATTGTATGTACCAAAGAGGTCCCCCAAAACTACAAGGTCCTAGCTCAAATCACAGATGGCATTTCCATGCAACTTCAGACTTACACATTCATATACATATACTTGAATTCTCAAGTCTGTCTGGTCATGTTAGCTTGAAAGTAATCATAAAACATCTCCTGTATTATTCTGATTTAGGGGAAAAAAAAGTGTCTTACCATATAATGAGGAATTAGAATTAAGGTGTGTTAGTCACATCTCTTCTTTCTTCACATGATAGACTCACACCTGATAAGGGATTTCATATTCATCGCCAAGTTCAGAACTCCTGTCAGTAACTCCTGGGGGGATTACTGAAGAATCCAAAGCACCTAGCTTGTTAAAGTGGTTTTGAGCTAGATTATGAATATTTTTTAAAATATTTTTACTTATTTCTAGGAGAGAGAGAGAGAGAGACAGCGTGAGCAGGGGAGGGTCAGAGAGAGAGGGAGAAACAGAATCAGAAAAAGGCTCCAAGCTCTGAGCTGGCAGTCAGCACAGAGCCAGAAGCGGGGCTCGAACCCACGAACTGCGAGATCATGACCTAAGCGAAAGTCGGACGCTTAACCGACTAAGCCACCCAGGCGCTCCTAGATCATGAATATTTTTAATAAAAAGAGAAAATCAAAGAACTCATTGCCTTTGAACACTGTATTTTCACATAGGTGTGTTAAGGCTCCTTAAAAAAAAAAAAAAGATGATCAGAAACTGTAATTCATTACAAATAAAATGAAAGAGAACTAAGACCCAGGAATTCTGGATGGGGAATGCCATTATGCTCTTTCAGAGATAATACATTTTTTTTTAACTTTTGGTAGATTTTAAGCCTAATATTCTGTTGTCTTATGTGCCTGTGGTGTGTCAAATGTGATTATGTTTCTAATAGAGTCTACATTTATATAAATAAGGAAATTAATATCTAAATACATAATGTTCCTTCTGAAAATGATATTTTTATTTTAATGTGCACACATATTTCAGTGACATGTATTCTATCATGCTCAGAAATAGTCATCACTTATGTTACTAGCTTGAATAGTTCTTGGATTCATATTTTGATGATCCTCACTGAGAAAGATATTAAGACAGATCTCTTACTTACATACTCATAACACTTGGTACATTTGGAGAAAATTAACTTTTATTTAAAGAAAATGTATATTATTGTAAAAACCATAAAAGTAGAGCTAACTCAGGTACCTTAATAATAAATATAACACAAATTCACTAAACCTAGGACTTTTGGAGATTGAATCCTTGAGAAAGTCTTTCCGTGTCCGAATCCAATTCCTTAAAGGTCTTAGGTTCATTTTCTTGTAGATATCAAATAATTTTATCAGAAAAAGTTAATTTCAGAGGTCTTTAAGAAGGAAAAAAATCAGAATATAAATGTAAAATTACACGAGATTGCCCATTATCATGAAAAGTTGAACCTTATCTTGAGGTATCTTAAGGATTTTCTCTAAGAATATTACACTTAAGTTTACCTTTTGGCTTTTTTCTGTTTATATTGCCTTCCCTTTGGATTGCAGATGAATTACTTGAAACCTAAGTTTTAACAGAGAAAGCCACAGTGAATAGTGGATAGTATCTCTCCAGCTAACAGTTGCTGTGGGAGGGGTGGGGGATGAGAGAGAGTGTTCGGGGCCAGACCTCCCCAGTCTGTACTGACCTGGAGGGCCTTTGGAAAGCTCTGAGCAGTGGCGTTATAGGCCCTGGCTGGTTTTATCAGGACCACCCTGGCTGTAGGTAGAGAATGGAGCGTAGGAAGGCAAAATTGCAGAAGGGCAACTTGGGGAAGCCATCGTAGCAATCCAGATATGAGACAACGGAGCAGGTGGTGTGGGGTGGTATAAGTCATCGATAGCTGCCTCGTTAATTCTTTTCTTGTGCGTACATCCACAACTTGTCTTCCTGTGGACTGAGGTCCATCCAGGAACCCCTTCGCTAGTTAGCACCATGCCTTTGCCTCCAGCTCATCTACACATGAGGCGATTGAAAATAGTTTCAGGTGATGATTGTGGCAGATTTCCCCCTCCACCTCCCCAAAAACTCTTAGCACAATACCAACCCAAAATCAAGTAATTAAATTAAGTTATTAATTTGTGTGGTTCCTTTCTTAAAATGTGGGTATTTTATTAGCTCTTTTAAAACTGTGGTTGGCTAGGTTTTTTCTAAGGGGAAGCTGATAAATAAGGCTCAAGGAGAAAATGTGAAAGCAGTCTGATGTGTTGATCTGTCATAGCCACCTGCTATTTCCTAAGTTGGCATTTTAGCAGAATCGCAGGTTAGTATAAACCCGGAGAGCAGGAACTATTCCATCCTCTCCTCCCAGGTAAAAATATACCAGGCATTTTGATGAGGCATAGGCTGGTTCCCTGCAGTGCCCAGGGGTAGGGCCCTGGGAGCCGCCCGCCTTGGGTCTTAGATCCACCCCTTTCTAAAGACGTGACCCCAAGCAAGCGGCCTGCCACTCAGTGAGAACAGCCCTGGGGGCCGGGTTTCCTGGAGCGGCTGCTAGAAGGGTGCACAGAAGGGCTGAGAAGCGTCCAGTGCTGAGGCACCCTCAGCTACTCCTGACTGTGTGCTTGTCCTGTGTCCTCTGGAGAATGCGTGCAGAATTCTAGAACTCACATCACCCAGGTTAGTGGGCTAGTGTTCTTTTAACCAACTGAACTCTCTCCCCTCACCACCCAGAAAGTCTTTGAAGCCCACAATATGTGTCAGGTAGAAGTAAGTTTTCCGCCTGGAGCCCAAGGTGTAGTACCCTCTCCCCCCGGGTCCCCAGTATTTGCCCCCAAACCTCTTCCGGGCCTTCTGGGCCCCCCAGCACTGTCGGACATGACAGGCCAGTTGTGTTAGCTCCCAGGGAACAGGCGGCTTCTCCGCTCTCGTCCTCTCCCCTAACAACTCACACCCCGCGGCTGGGTGCACGGAAAACAACTCCCGAGTGCCTGATAGGATATAACACAATCCTCTGTCCACTTCACCAGGGAGCTGGGGATGTAACAAGTCAGAGGACTAGCCACCTCGGCCACCATGCTGCGTTACAGAAAGGAAGATTCCCCTCCGCACAGTGCAACAGTGAACCCTCGCTTTTCCTCAAGTTGGCATTTAGACCCACATCCCAGGCATGCACCCTGTTCTTTGCCCTTTGAGGGAGTGAGGTTTACTATGTGTTGCAAAACAGAAAGGCAACATTAGGAAGGGTAAAAAGTGGGGACTACTAAAAAGTAGGATGTGTAGTCTGAAACTTAAAAATCTGTACATATGGCGTCCAAGAGAAAAATCACCTTGGATCATTTCAGATGCGAGTAACAAACGGGGATTACCTCACAGGGGCGCCTTGGGGCTGCACCCTTCCCAGATCTCGGCTGCCCCTGGTTTGGTCCTCAGCCACCCAGAGGGGGAGCTCACTGC